TCGCCCTCGCTCTGCGGGTCTACGCGCTGGACTCCGAGACGCCCGCCGGTAGGAACGGAGCGCGGTGTGTGCGCCGGGGACACGGGGGGTCCCGCTCGCTCGGTGCGGCTCCGAGGTGCTCCCGCCGGTGCTACCGTCCGTCCCGCCGCCGCCACCTGTTCCTGCCGGAGGGTCCCCGAACTGCCCCGGGGCCGCCGCCCTCCGTAAAAAGCACCGGGATCTCGCCCTCCCCCCGGAACCGCGATGGGGGCTCCGTTTGCCCGCGCTCCCCTCGTCGCCACCGGGGGAAGTTTTGCCGGCCGGGGGGTGCGCGGGCGGGGCGTCTCGGCGGCAGCCCCCCTCCCGAGGATGCTCCGCTGAGCGCGGCCCCGCGGCTCCCGCTCGCCCCCGGTACCGGGGCCGCCGTCCGACCCCTCTCCCGCCGCAGCCCGGCAGGGAAAACTTCCCCCGGTGSCGACGAGGGGRCCGCGAGAGGAACCCCATGCGGGTGCCCGGGGGCGGCGGGATCCCGGTACTTTCACCGTGGGGCCCCGAGAGGAAGCTGGGGACCCTCCGGTTGGAACAGGTGGCGGCTGCGGCGGCTCCGGTCGCATCCCCCCGGCTCTCGTTGTGCCGTGAAGGTACAGGAGGAGTTGAACCGAAACACGATCGATTGATTTGATTTGATTTGATTAATTGACGTATTTTTAATTTTTTGGTCTTTCTCCTGAGCACCCCAGCGTTGCACCCTGCGCCCCACTGGGGAAGGGCAGGTGCGGGGGAAACACTCGCTTCCGATGCCTTCGGAAACTGGAACAGCGTTGGATGTGAGGGGAGTGGGAATTTGGGGCTCCCGAGGTGCTGCCGGGGGCTGCGAGCGCTTTTTGGGGGAAACGGAGCCACGGGGGAGCTGGTKCCTCACTCCGAGGGGTCCCTGTTGCTGTGGCTTCCAGCTCCTGGGTGATGTTGATCCCATTAAAGTGTATTTTTGCCTCGCTCTTTATTTTTTTTACCCTTAAATCCAAGCTGCTCACCTGCACCCAGTCCCTGTGGTGGTGCATTGATTCTGTTTTTTTGGGTAGTGGCATTTCTCCAAAGATTATAAATAGTGACACCCATCAGCAGAAAACAAGCGCCGTCTGACCCGTGCGGTGGGGGATGGATGGAGGGTTGGATAGACGGTGGGTGGGGGGATGGTTACACGRTGGATGGGGGAGATACGAAGCTGCAGAGGCTGCCCCGGCTCTTGCAGGGTGGGGGATATGAGGAAGAAATGGGTTTGTATTTTGGGGGAGGAGCTGCTGCTTCGGAGCTGAGCTGGGAGGCGATGGGGAAACTGAGGCACGGAGCTTATGGGGCTCTGCTGGAGCTTCTGCCCCCGATGTCAGGAATGGGATTTGGGGTTTGCTGCTCCCCAGCCCTGGTGTTTCTCTGATGGCTTTCAGGGATAAGCTGCCGCAGCCCGTGGGGGGCTCGAGGGGCAGTGGCTGGGACACAATGGGGGTTGGGGGGGCCTTGTGGGCAGGGTCCCCCTCCTGAGCAAACCCTTTTTTCCTGGTGGGTTCCCTTCCCTGCAGAGCGAAGGTGTAAATCAGGAGTGTGTTTGCTCCATTTCCCCGGGAGATGCAGAGCAGGCTCTGCTCCGCAGTGGAGCCGAAGGGGCTGTGTCCAGCTGGAGGAGAGGGGGCTCTTGCAGCCCCCCAAGCCCCATCAGGCTGCTCTTTGCCTGCACCTCMTGTTTGCTCCTGCGGCTTGGCCGGWKCGGGGATGTTGCTCTGCTCATCCCTGGGACTGCGAGGGGGCAGGGCTGGTAAAAGATTTCAGCCGTTTGCACGTGCTCTGGGGTCAGTGGGGAGGACCAGCTGCTTGTCTCGGTGGGTATTTTCAGAAGATGTTTTTTTAGCTGTGCCTTTGCAAAGAAACGGTATGAGATGGTCCTTTCTACAGGTGGGAAAACTGAGGCACAGAGAGGAAGGGGGGTGCCCTGGTCGYGGCCCCCCACAGACTTGGGGTGTTCTTTGCTCCTTCCTGCAGCTTCAAACTTCATAGTTGACGAAGATTTCACCGTGGCTGAGCTGTCGCCGCTGCCCCATCGTGCTTGTCATGGAGGGGAGCACGGGCTGACCCCCCAAACCGAGCGATCCGGGGGCTCTCGTAGTGTCAGCAGGCTGGGACAGGGACCTGTGCTTGGCACCAGTGGGGTTTGTCGGCCCCAGCTCTCCTCGCTGGGCTCTCTGCAGCAGGACAAGRAGCCTTTCCCTGCTGGAAGCCTGTGGCCAGGAGCAGGATGGCTCGCAGGGCCCCGGGGCAGGAGCTTGTGCAGGCTCAGCCATTTCCCTCCTCTCCTTGGAAAAGGGGGGTCGTGGTGGCCTTGGCAGTGTTGGGGGAATGGTTGGACTCGGTGATGTTTCCCAACCCCAACGATTCCATGGTGCAATCGGCAGCGAGCTGCTCTCGGGTGTCACAGCCTGTGTCCCCCGTGTCCCCGGGCCGTGTTCCAGTGGAGGGACAGGCGCTGGCGGTCACAGCCGCGGCACTCCTGACGGAATTATGCGGAAGCTGTTTGCGCTCGGCTTCGACTTCTTTTGCAGCAATTAAGCAAATAAAATATTTGGGTTTGTAGCTTCCACTCGGGAGGTGGGGATCGCCCGGGAGCCCTGGRCTGGGGTTGGCGGTGTCTGCGGTGACACTCCGGCTGCTTTGGGGGGGTGTTGTGGTGATCAGCCGGGGTCAGGCAGGGGGAATGGGGCCCCCCAAGCGTCCCCGTGTCCCCGGGACAGCGCTGGCAGGAGGTGGCACGGTGACCCCGACTCCGACGCGGCGGTGCTGTCTCGGTCGAGTGAATGGGAACAGCCAGGCAGACGCTGTTCCCGGGGCCGGGATTGGGGCCGGGATTGGGGTCGGGAGCAGGGCAGAGCCCGCCCGTTAACGGTCCTTTCAGCGGGGGCTCGGGAGGTGCTGGGAGAGGGGATGAGCAGGGGGGGTTCAGGAGCAGGGGTGTTCCCGGCTGCTGCTGCGGGACAAGCTCTGTGTTTTGTGCCCTCGGGTGCTCCGGTGCCTAATCCTGCTCTTCCAGCGCTTTTCCCGGTGTTTATTTCTCTCCACCTGGCTGTCCGTGGGCTCTCCCATTCCACCGAGTTTTTCTCCCACCCCGCCTTCACCAAGCTCATAAAATGTGCGAGAACATTACATTTTCCTTGTCAGCTTGTTTCAGGCTTGGATTTTTTTTTTTCCTCCTGCCTGTTCTGTCGTGCCAGGGAAGACGCTCTTTCTCTTGTTTGCTCCTACATTTGTTTTCAATGCCCTGGGTGTGCCGTGCCCTTTCCCAGAGCACACAGACAGTGCAAACACCTGTGTCGGGATGCTCTGGAAAATCCTGTTGATGTGCCCAAGTGTGCCCAGGGCAAAGGTTTCTGGCTCCCAGGTCCTTGGCTCTCCAGTGTGTGCAGAGGGACACTGCAGCATGRTGGATTTTCAMCATCCATGAGGGAGAAGCAGAATTYGGGGAGGTTCCGAGTGATGCTGGTGCTCCTCGATGGACCTGTCCCTCAGGCTCTGTATCTGCAGTGCCATGGTGGAGCCTGGCAATGCCTGTTTTTTTATCCTCCATCAAGACTTGTAGTTGCATTTGTTTCATTTTTACCCTTTTCTTCTTGTTCCAAAACTCCCGTTTCATGTTTTGCTCCGGGTTCCTGGACCTGCCCTGGCCCCAGGAGCAGAGATGCTGGTGAGTCATCTCCTGGCCTAAAATGCACATTTTTCCCTTTGTTATCCAAACCAAGATGAACCAGCTGTATTCCAGCTTTCCTGAGAGCTTTCCCAGAATAAAGCCTATCAGGATCAGGGTGCTGGGGGAGGAGGGACATCCCCTGGAAGACCAAGGCTGGCTCTTGCTGGTGGCTTTAATCCCTGTCCTGGCTGTGATAACCTCCTTGCTGCCTGTTGATGTTGGTTTTTCCCTTGAMTGCACCTGGGATGGAGCTTTTCCTTCCCCTCATTACCCAATCTTTGCCCTGCAGAGGGTCTGTGAGCTCTGAGCACCCCAGAGCACCCCATAACAATCCTCTCCTGGCTGCTGTCCCTCTCCAGGGATTTACTGCTTTGCTTTGGGCAGTCATGCGAGGGTTAAGCATGAGGGGCTGGAGGCAAAGGAAGGCAAACCCCTGCTGTGCATCCCCAGGAGCTGGGAGGTAGCACAGCCTCTGGAGAGTCTTATCGACACGGCCCTGCCATCTGCYTGCTTAAGCCTCCATAAATACGCTTTTTAATAATCTATTATTAACATGCACTATAATTGTCTTATTAGACATGTCTGGGAACCTTTTGTTATTGCATCATTAAATGTCAAGATTCCCAAGCCTCTTCTCCCCCATGGCAGCTCGGGATTTGCTTTGCAGCTTTCCTTGAATCCTGCTCTCCCATTCCAGCCTGGAGACCGCTCCTAGTACTTGGTGAAACTGAAACTTTCCCCTYATCCCCGGGAGCTAATTGCCTCCTCGTTGCCAGCCTTCAAGTAAATAAGTCCTGGAGATGGATCTTTTCCTTGCTGCTGCAGGTGGCCTGGCAGGAGCTGCTGCTGCTTTTCCCTGTGCTGGGATGGTTGTGKGTGGGTGAYRGGGTGGGGACAGGGGGTGCCAGCCTGTGGCTGCCTGGCTGGAGGGGTCCTGGGGGCACGGGATCTGCCTCTCCTCGTTGGGTAAAGGATGTCTCTGGGGAGTGGCTGTGGAGCTGGCAGGTGCCAGAGGGACTTYCCTGGGTGTTCCTGAGCTGTTTGCTCTCCTGGCCCTGGGAGCGGCAGGTTCTGCACCCTCTGCCTGGATCAAAAGCCAAAGTCCGGCTCTTGCAGCTGCTGGAAGGCGAAGGCAGGRGAGCCCTATCCCCATCACTGCTGCCAGCACTGGGGGCTCACGTGTCAGCTGCCCTTTGGGGCTGCTGTTTTATTTATTTTTTTCTTAAATCAGGGCTGTTCCTGCTCGCTGGGTGGTTGTTGGCTGCAGCTCCTTCCCTGGCTGCTTCCGTGCTGCTCCAGCTCCTGCCTGGCTGTCACAGCCACGGTTTGCAGTTCCTGC